GTGTAAAATTGAAACTAAACCTGCATATAAATGATTTCATTTATTTATGGGAAATGAAATGATTCCATCGCTTTCTCGCTTTCCTCCTTTCTTAATCAATTTTCCTCTTCTCTCTCTGGTTTTCCGTGTCTCGATGACTCTCTCTCTCTCTCCGTATTTTTTTCCTACCAAAAAGTTGGTACATATACAGTTTACACGTAACACTGTAACTATATTATAGTAATAATTTTAAAAAGTCAGACATTAAACGAAATTCTATCCACTTTTTTACAGACCGAATTGTTTAAATTTGTATCGTTTAAATTTGTATCAGTTTATTTTAACACAGATTAGCCTGATTTAAAAAAAAAATGAACTGTAAAAATATTAATTTTGAAAATTGTTCAGATTCAGTCTTGCAAATAATGGGGTATGGATTTTTTTAACTGATCAATTTATGCACGAAGTGTATGAGTATTTTCAAACTGCAATTGCTCAGCCAAACTGTAAGAAGTATCAGTACCGTAACATTACAGTACATGTATATATACATGTACACTCTCGTAATGCCGGTAAGTTTCGAGCCATTTTTTTTTTTTTTTTATTATTATTTTTTTTTTTTTATAAAATCGTGCTTCTTGTGACAGCAAAATTACGATGATGTCGTCATAAACCCCTATTTCTATATTGTTTTTTCATTGGTCCTCGTGTTTCAGATTGCAGAAAGCGCGCATTCAAATATGCCGATTTTTCATTGATCCACTTTAATTATCATCCCCGTGTTTATTTGGGGGGAAAAGGGGGGGGGGTACTCTTGAGCTACATATTTTTCCCTCTCAATATATGACACAACTTTATTTTACAGATTTTGCATGCCCATTAAATTTTTTGTCGTAAGAAGCTTCAGGTCAATATTAATTAATTACACTGTTTTTTTGTTGTTAATTATACAATTTAACTGGGAATGGAAAAAAAACATTATGTATCATATACGTATCAAACAGAAATAAGAAGACTTTTGTTTCTGAAGTATTAATTTAAAATAATTAATCATAGTTGGAGGAGAAAAATCTTAATTTAGAACTACGGGGTATTCATCAGGATCATCCTACGATGAAAAGCTCTCGTTTTCAGTTGCTGTGTCTAATTATAACGATTAGTTCAAATAGAGTAAACTGTGTTTTAGAATCAGATAGCTTATCTGAAAACATAATCACATTTATACCCACAAAAATGACTAAAATTAACTCAATAAATTACCAATGGGTCTTTGTGACGTCATAAAAACACAAAATCAAGAACGATAAGCGGGTAACAAATTTATCAAGTGGACAAGTTTAGGCCTTCATTTTTCAGTTAAGCAAAGGCAATATATTTTTACTAAACATAATTTGACTTTCTTTCATACCAGTCTTTACGTTTAAAGTGTAAACTCCTAGTGTTAAGAACTGTTTCATATGACCTTTAATGATTATATGTAAAACTTTGCTTTGTGTTTGAATATACATATACATTTTGTTGGATGAAAACTTCCAGACTTGCTTTGTATGTTGGAACTGACCAAAATTTTCTTGATTAGTAAACAGGTTAAAAGTTTTTGGAGCAGGTCTATTTCCAAGTATGATTTTTCAGCTAACCAAACTTCAGCAGTTTCAAGATTAAGGAACATAAAAAGTACAACATGAAACTTCTTTTTGAGTTCAGATTTGGATTCAACTTTGCTGCAGTCAAGTTCCTCACTCTCTAAACAATACCCACAATGTTAATTTAATTCAGTTACAGTTCCACTACTGTATTAATTTATAACCACAAAACTGTGCAAAGTAATAATTACCTGCAATAGTTAATCGGTTATTTCACTGTAGGACTCCTCATAAACTGTCTTTAAAATTTCTACATGCAAATAATTTTAAAGTAGATATAAAACTCCCCTGATGCTAACAAGATATGTTATGTGTGGTATTAATTGTCATTTTAATTTTGAAATAATTTAGTTAATTTGAATTAACAGCAATTACCTTTTGTATGGCTGTCCACCCAAATTTAACTCTTCTTTGTGGATATATTATATTTGTATATTATTTATATGTAAAACTTTGCTTTGTGTTTGAATATTTTTGAATACTTTATGAATAACTTTATTCTTCATGTTCTAAATTTGATTACGCCGAAAAAATATGAAAACTCTCCTAACTGAAGACACCTCTGGTAAAAAAAAAGTTGGAGTGCACTTTTTTTTTTCCTTAAGATTTTCTACTTAATATGAAATTTAATTTTAAAGAGACCCAGAATTTTGTATTTTAAACGCCCAGAATTTGTTACCCAGAGGTCTCAAAATCGTGAAATCCATTTTCCGAAACCCCCTACCAGGGCGCTCCCCTGGACCTGCTGCATGGGATCTTGGGCGGTCCCCAGACCCCTCGTCGCATACAGGGTAATTTGTGCCTATACTTCGTCAAAGTTCTAGCTACGCCCCTGACATTTGATTATGAAAGATTTTATAGCAGTTGTCATGGTGTGACATTACTTTTGAACCAACCCTCGTAGCATTTGATTGGATGACGGTTTGTCAAAATCCTAGTAATACCTTGTTACCCGTTGCCATTGTATATGCTAATTAATTGTTTCTATAAAGAATCATTTATTTATTACACACATCAATGTATAAAATAGTGTCTTGGAAAATATACGCAGATTTAATAGGCCTACATATTGTTTGTTTGTAGGTTTTTAACGTCCCTCTCGAGAATTTTTCACTCATATGGAGACGCCACCACTTGCCGGTGGAGAGCTGCAAATTTTGTCCTATGCTCGGCACTTACCATGCTTACGGCCATTGAGCATGCAGTGAGGGATCTTTATCGTGCCAGCACCTACTACGACACGGGACCTCGGTTTATACGGTCTCATCCGAAGGACCGGTCTCCACGTCCCACAGTGGGATTCGAACCCGTGACGTAAGGATCAACTCCTTACTTCGCGACTCTAGAGCAGACGCTCTAACCACTGCGCCACGCGGGCGACTAGGCCTACATATAGTTAGAAAAGAGGACCTTATATTAGTTTTTTTTCTCTCTCTCTCATAACAATTTTTTGAGAAACATCAAAGTAGGCCTAGTTTTTAATACGCATGAACCATATTTTTTTCTAAAACCATGTCGTAAAAACTACGGATGAAATGTAAGCGCAGCATCCAGCGCAATATTCCGTTTATATTGAAATGCGCTCTCGCATTCACTGGCCGTCCATACCAAGCACTCGTTGGAGTAGGACTAGACGATGTTAGAGATGTATGTACTTATGCTTTGCTTAATATGTCACAGCAAACGGGATTGGCATTATTAAAAGTATATTTCATACGAAATACAGTATTATATTCAAAGTACAAGTAAGGTGAAGTAGCTCAATAATTATAGTGCTGCAATAGACTGATCCTTAAAGCGACAGTTAGTACACAGACAGTGATGCTACCAAACATTTTGGCGTTCTATGGTAAATCCACTATGATTTAATTTTTTCTTTCGATGTATGGGTAGCTCCATCCTGGGACAATCAATGTACAAGATGCACAGGTTTTAGAGGTAGTACAGTTACTCAAACAATGAAAATTCATCTTTTGCTTAAAAGTATTCAAATGCTGCAATGTTAGAACTATCTTTGATTTCGGTTGTTGTTTAATAGCCCATATAGTACATATATGAATAGTCAAATACTTGCGACTTTTTGTCTATTTCTTACAAAAAACATTTTTCTGAAAAACTGCATTTAAATAGCTCTATAATATATGAATAGTCAAATACTTGCGACTTTTTGTCTATTTCTTACAAAAAACATTTTTCTGAAAAACTGCATTTAAATAGCTCTATCAAGCTTTTTTGAATAGCTTAATAAAGCTATATAGCTATTTCAAGCTATAGATTGTGCTGGACCTGTCAAATGTGAAATGACAAAGTTACAAACCAGAAAACTACAAAGGCTACTGTGAGCTTTTTTCCCCCAAAGATGGCGGACAAGGGACATATAAACTTTTGAAAAGTGTGGATTCAACTACAACTGCATTTGGGTCAACTCCATCTCACAGTTCTCCAAAAATAAAGCCACACTTCATAGAGATGTCAGACTTCAAATGAGTTGACAAAGGCACTTGCTTCGGTAATAAATTTTTAACCAATAGTATAATAATAACACAAGTTATCTAACTCCGAATTACACGGAGTACCCCTCTCCCCCAGAATCGCACTCATTTACACTTTCAGAGGAAATACACTGACAAACTGTTTATACCTATGTTTTCTACGATAATTTATCTATACAACCATATATGGCATGCTTGTCTTTATTTTCTTTAGTCTCCGTAAACAGCATCAAAACTCTGCTTGTCGAGTGGAAAAGTCGAATTCAACCATGAAATGGTATGTGCTAATCCCGCACAGAGATTTTGATCGGCTAAAAATCTGTTTCTAAAATTACATCGGATAAACATCGTAATGTTTTCAGGCAAAATCAGACGTAAACAAGTTCTATTTACTCATGCAATATTTAAACACTGGAATTGAATTTTTAAACCCACTCATTTTTTAATTTTGTTCTCTGTGTGGGATAAATTATCGTAGAAAACATAGGTATAAACAGTTTGTCAGTGTATTTCCTCTGAAAGTTTAAATGAGTGCGATTCTGGGGGAGGGGGGTACTCCGTGTAATTCGGAGTTAGATACCTTGTGTTATTATTATACTATGGGTTAAAAATTTATTACCGAAACAAGTGCCTGTGTGAGTTGAGCATAATTGTTCCAGTTCCATCATGATCAATTAACAAATTATATTTTGATGGGTCTAAAATAGATCTTTATTCACTATTTCTTCATTATTTCCCCTAAGAAAGCCATAAAGGCTGTTTAAAGGCCTTTAAGGTGGAGGGGTACATTGAGTGTGATTGCACCCTTAAAAAAACAACAAAAATATCATTTTTGTTACAAAATAAATCCATTATACATTATTTTTCAGCTACACAATGTCCATTGAGAGGCAGAATATAGTGTGGGAATCAAGACCAGTACACATAGTTTTATAATGGCAGTCTTCAGATGTCGATACAAACTAAAACCTAAAGTAGTGGCCATAAGTTCCTTCCTTTGCATTGCTCTGACTGTACATTACTTCATTTCGTCCAAGTTTAGGACTAAAAGCCAAACCAATTCCTTTGGAAGGAAGTCTTACTCTAGAGTTTATATGTCTAGTGATGCTGAAAATCCGAATCAACAATTTGAGGTTTGTAGGATACACCAGCTACCACTTTACAGCCGAGAAATCGAACATGCTATTCAACCAATGGATAAACCTCTTGTATGCAATGGAACCAACCTGTTTTATTTTAAAGACAATATTTTATCAATAAATACGAGTGTCTTGTACCCGATTCATAATACCATAGATTTGTACGAATTTAAATCTAGAAAGTTGGAAAATAAACCAGTTATAAAAGCATGTGAATATAGAGGAATAGAAAGAGTGACAGATTCATTTTTCACATACACGGAGAGTATCATCAAAGAAAAGGAACCATTTAACTTCCTAATCAAGCATGACTTTGTACGAGTGAAGTGTCTGTTAAATTCCACTGTCAATTTAATCAACGCAGATGAGAACGAGACTGAAAAAAATGTTGACAGTGACGGCTCTTATAACGAAGCTGACGAGAGGATCGAATCGGAAAGGAACATCTTTGAGGAGTATCTCGTAGATTTTGACCAGTTTTTAGTCCAAGTTTATCCTCGAGAGGAGGTTTTTAAAAGAGCCTCCGCCTTGCCAGATTCACTCGGTTCGGATCAGATGAATGTGATGCTGATTATTTTGGATTCTATGTCTCACATGTCATTCCGTAGAAAACTGCCAAAAACTTACAGCTTTTTAAAGAAAAATTTAGCATCAACAATTCTGAATGCATATAATATTGTTGGTGATGCTACTCTAGCAGCATTGATACCAATTTTAACAGGTAAACATTGGCATGATAAAATTTTAAAGTATCTTGTGTATAAAAGTTATTGTGTTCTTCATGCAAATTTTTCCAATCATATCCTTTTTACCTCATCTGATCCAAAGGCTGAGGAGAGTTTTTGTCTTATCAAAACATGTCTGTCAAGTGTTGAATTAATTTATAGATCTATACATCTATTCATGTTCAACTTCAATAGTGTAAGATGTAGAAACTTCAAACTGGTCATGCAGTTTGCCAGATATTCATTACCAAGAAAAATGGCAAGGTTGACTAATTTGACTTAATGAGTTTATATCATTTAATCATTGAATCACATTATTTAACAATTATTACTTTTTTTTGGGGGGGGGGGGGGGCAATATAAGGATTTAGCAACCCTCAAAGTATGATATCAACCTTAATCATTAAGAATTGTATTCTTCGGATAGCAAGACCTAAAAAATAGCAATAATTTTGTAGTAGTCTATTAACTGATGGTGTAACATGAATGTGCTATGCTTCTTGTAGGTAAAACAGAACTTGAGTTACCTGAAGTTAGAAAAAGCCAGGAAGACTCTTATTACATGGACATTTATCCAATGATTTGGAAGGAGTTTAAGAAAAAGGGATATGTCACCATGTTTGCTGAGGACGAACCTTCAATTAGTGCTTTTAACCTTAGATTAAATGGTTTTAAGGAATCCCCAGTGGACCACTATATGAGACCATTTTGGCAGGCCATCTGGGACTCTGAAGTCCGAGAAAGGAGCAAAAGATATTGCACAGGTGGTACGCCACATCATAAGTTTTTATTAGAATACCTGAAAGACTTCTATGTGAAATATCAGAATATTTCCAAGTTTTCCCTGACATTTTTGGCCGAATTGACTCATTGGGATAATAACCCAGGAGAATATTTAGATATGGATTTTGTGAAATCGCTGAAAATGTTCAGCAAGTTGGGATTTCTGGACAATACTCTATTGATTGTGATGGGGGACCATGGTGCTAGATATGGAAAGATCAGACGTACATTACAAGGGAAAATAGAAGAGAGGCTGCCCTTCATGAGTCTTCATTTTCCTCATCAATTTAAACTTAAACATCCTCATTTGATTAAACTTCTTTCAAAAAATGCAAATCGACTGACAACACCTTTTGATGTTCATGAAACACTTAGGGATGTCATTGACTTGTCAAGGTTGTATAAACCTGTGATACCTAGCAGAGGAATTAGTCTCCTTCAGGAGATTCCGGCCAATCGTAATTGTGCGTCTGCTCATATTGACCTACATTGGTGTTCATGTTTAGTGCAAAGTAAGGTGGACGCAAACAGTGATAATATAAAAGTCATGGCAGATGAACTTCTTCATTATATCAATGATTTGACACTGCCATTGAGGGACTCATGTCATGAGCTTTCAATTCTTAAAATAAAATCTGCAAATTTAATTAGTCCTAATGAAAAGGTAAGGAATTACTGATAAAACATTTGAATATGTAACAAATTATACTGGGTAAAATTATTATTGACTAGAATATAACTTTTCAGTTTATTTTAAATTAATTCAAATGGCTTGCAAGATAAACATTTTCCTGCATGTTTGTAACTTTTCAGTTAATTTTTAAATTAATTCAAATGGCTTGCAAGATAAACATTTTCCTGCATGTTTGTAACTTTTCAGTTAATTTTTAAATTAATTCAAATGGCTTGCAAGATAAACATTTTCCTGCATGTTTGTGTGAGTGATCTCTACGGAAATGATGCATGTCAAAAGCATCTGTGAAGTACAAGTTAATAAGCTTCATTAAAGTCACTCTCTTCCCTTGGAATAAAATCATATGTTCTTCTATTTCAGGTTTTGAAATTTTTGAAAACAGTGGATGCGGATCAGAGAGTGGCCAACTTTAGTTCGGAAATAAATGTAGATGTAGCACATTACCAAATAACCATGGAAACACTTCCAAACTATGCACAATACGAGGGCACAGTGACAAAGAACTTGAAAGACAACAAATATGAAGTTTTCCGCAGCGTCAGTAGGTTAGATCACTATGGCAACCAGTCTGCCTGTGTGATGAAACAGTATCCAGATCTCAGAAAATTTTGTCACTGCAGATGATATTCATTGAGTTTTGATAAACTGTTCTCACATATCATGGATACAAAATCAGGTTAGATGTGTTCTTAAGGTGGGTTAACAGGTAACTGACCATGGTTAGTGAACGAAACTCCTGAATGTATACTTCCAGGAATGCAGGCAGCAGTTACTGGCCTTTGAAATTTTAGGGTTATTAATTAATTTGAGATTCGGGACATATAGTTTTTAGCTCACCTGAGCTGAAAGCTCAATTGAGCTTTTCTGATCACATTTTGTCTGTAGTCCGTCTGTCTGTCTGTCCATCCGTCCATCTGTAAACTTTTCATATTTTCAGCTTCCTCTCCAGAACCACTGGGCCAATTTCAACCAAACTTGCCACAAAACATCCTTGGGTGAAGGGGATTCAAGTTTATTCATATGAAAAGCCACACCCGCATTTGAGGGAAAATAATTCAGAAATAGTGGAAATTTGGTGGCATATTTTAAAAACCTTCTTCTCCAGAACCACTGGCCCCAAAAAGTTGAAACTTACAGGAAACCTTTATTACATAGTGAAGATTCAAGTTTTTTCAAACCATGACTCCTAGGGGTAGGGTGGGGCCACAATGGGGGATCAAAGTTTTACAAATTTTACGAAGTATGTAGGAAAAAAATCTTTAAAAATTGTCTTCTCAAGAACAGCAAAGCCATGTTTAGTCATATTGATACATGTATGGAAGCATCCTCAGGTAGTGTAGATTCAAATTTGTTCACATCATGACCCCTGGAGGTAGGGTGGGGCCACAGTTTTACATAGAAGTATACTAGTGTAGGAAAAAATCTTTAAAAATCTTCTTCTCAAGAATAGCAAAGTCTTGTTTCATCATATTGATATGTAAGCTTCCTCAAGTATTGTACATTCAAGTTTGTTCAAATGATGTGATGACCCCCGGGGTCAGGGTGGGGCCACAATGGGGGATCAAAGTTTTACTTAGAAGTATATAGGAAAACATCTTTAAAAATCTTCTTCTCAAGAACAGCAAAGCCATGTTTAGTCATATGATATGGCAGCATTCTCAGGTATTGTAAATTCAAGTTTGTTCAAATCATGACCCCTGGGGGTAGGGTGGGGCCAAAATGGGGGATCAAAGTTTTACATAGGAATATGTAGGAAAAAATCTATTTCTCAAGAATAGCAAAGCCATGTTTAGTCATTTAAACAATAAAATGCTTTCTTTGGTTGTTAGTACGGGAAATAATGTTGCAGCTGTTGCAGAAAAAATACATAACCCGCATGAGCGAGTTATGTAATTTTTTTCTGCAATAGCTGCGACATTAATTCCTGTACTAACAATGAAAGAAAGACATTTTATTGTTTATATTAATATCTGCATAATAAAACATTCAAAGAAAAATCAAATATGTTAAATATTGTATTATAGATGTGAATGTCATTGTATGCATAATTAATGAAACAGCCTTTGCTCAAGAAATCTATGCAGGTGGCTAGCTTAGTGTTGTTTACTGACTGATGAACAGCAATGGTTTTCATAAGAAATAAAGGAAATAATATTCAGTGGATGTAAATATATTGATGTGGAAGCATCTTCAGGTAGTGTAGATTCAAGTTTGTTCAAATGCTGACCCCAGGGGGTAGAGAGGGGCCACAAAGGGGTATCAAATTTTACAAAGGAATGTAGAGGAAAAAATCTTTAAAAATCTTCTGGTCAAGAACAGCAAAGTCATTTGTTATATTTATATGGAAGCATCCTCAGGTAGTTTAAAATTCAAGCCCCCCTCCCACCTACCCCCAGTTTACTTTTCAAAACTGAACTGATTTGTGCTTTTCCTAGCCAATGTGCTCAGGTGAGGGATGTGGCCCATGGGCCTCTTAGTCTGTCCACCTGTCTGTCTGTTTTCATCAAAATCTTTAACCTTGGTAATAACCTTTGAACTGTTAGTTCTAGGGCTTTCATATTTCACATGTATATTCTTTGTGACAAGACCTTTCTTTGGGTACCAATATTTTTTATCTCATGACCTTGACCTTGGAAGTTTTACCTACTTTTGTAAAACATTAACCTTGGCCATAACTTTAGAATGATTAATACTAGAGCTTTCATATTGTACTCGTATATTCCTTGTGATAAGACCTTTTCTTGGTTATCAACATTTTTGACTTAATGACCTTGAACTTGATGTTTGACATGCTTTGAAAAACTTGAACCTTGGCTATAAGCTGCTATATGGGGACATCAGTGTTTCTTAAACACATTTTGTTAAAACATTTTTCTTTGTTATGTGATATTTTTATAAGAAATTTTGTCAATGAATGTAAATATTTCATTGCCTACAGAATGATTCAATCTCGTGAACCTTCTGTTTAATTTAGCCATGTGACTGCTCATGTGTGAATCTTTTAAATTATTTTTCTTGTTTTCTCATTTCTAGATGTCATTTTTCTCAGTAATTTGACTCCATGATTAAGTTCCTTTTTTATAAACATGTATATATTTACAATTGGTGTTTTGTATCATTTTAAATCAACAATAACAGTATTGAATTATACACTCTTACTACACAAAGTAATATTATTATATTTCCTTATTTGTATATTACATTATTTGTTGTATATTTACATGTATGTAATTTACATGTGTGGGTAATCATTTTCAATATTGATTGTTGTTTTACTTTTAATTTTGTATAAAAAATATATTGAATGAATTTCTAAAATCTCCATTTTGATTTTCCTTCTAATACTAACTGTAGTTGTTCATCCATCTAAAAAATGAGTCAATTTGTTTGCAGTGGCAGATTTAAGGGGGGTGCACCCGGGGCGCCCCCGTAAAACTGTCAAAGTTAGCATAAATCATAGTTTCATCGAGAAAATGTAAAAATGTGTACTCGGTAGACCTCATTTTTACCTTACAAAATCTCTAGAATCCAGGAGCTTCCGGGGGCAAAGCCCCCTGGGCCCCCACCAGGACTTCGCCCTGGACCCACTGCCAACTAACTTCAATTCCTGGATCCGCGCCTGGTTTGTATTCAAAATTTTAAACTACTTTGACAACACAAACAGTAACTTTGTTCTTTAATACATGCACGTAGTATTGAAAGTGGGGGAAGGAGGGGGACAGCCATAAAAATATTTGACAAGCAAAAAGAAAATGATAATTGTCCAAAACTTGAGAATCATATAATTTAAGGACATACGCAATGTACCTTACCTACTGATAATTTTTCAAGATATTCTTAATTAAAGATTATGGTGTCATCAAATTTTCGTAGACAAGCATGCATTACCAGGAGTTTTGAAAAGATATCAATTGATGAAAATTCTTGTATAATTCAAAGAAAAATATACAAAAATTACTGAACATATGTCCTAGATGTTTTGTTTATCCAAACTTGTTTTAGAAGAAGTTTACAACAGCATATATAGACTTTAAAATGTAGCACACAGTTCCTTTAAGTATTGTTACTCTTCAACTCCAGAGAAAAAACAATAAAATTCAAACTATGTTGTGTATGTCCTTAAAGGGGGGGGGGGGAGTCTAACTTTTTTTATAATCAAGTTGCAAACATATCTGTAAATACATTAACATAGGACGATTTGACTAAACTGCAAAACGTGGTGGGGACGAACCGCCTTTTTAACATTTTTCAACAGTAAAAGGTTATGTTTGGAACCCCACCCCCACCCCCCCACCCCCCACTACGTGCCTGTAATATTCTCTGTTATAAATGAGACATGTACTAATATTGTATGAAAGCCCATTGAACTCATTTTCGTAGGTAACAAAAATATATTTTTCGCGTTATAACGCGAATCTTTCGCGAATAAACGCGTAACTTTCGCGAATAAACCCGAAACTTTCGCGTTATAACGCGAAACTTTCGCGAATAAACGTGCATTACCAGGAGTTTTGAAAAGATATCAATTGATGAAAATTCTTGTATAATTCAAAGAAAAATATACAAAAATTACTGAACATATGTCCTAGATGTTTTGTTTATCCAAACTTGTTTTAGAAGAAGTTTACAACAGCATATATAGACTTTAAAATGTAGCACACAGTTCCTTTAAGTATTGTTACTCTTCAACTCCAGAGAAAAAACAATAAAATTCAAACTATGTTGTGTATGTCCTTAAAGGGGGGGGGGGGGGGGGGGGAGTCTAACTTTTTTATAATCAAGTTACAAACATATCTGTAAATACATTAACATAGGACGATTTGACTAAACTGCAAAACGTGGTGGGGACGAACCGCCTTTTTAACATTTTTCAACAGTAAAAGGTTATGTTTGGACCCCCCACCCCCACCCCCACCCCCCACTACGTGCCTGTAATATTCTCTGTTATAAATGAGACAAGTACTAATATTGTATGAAAGCACATTGAGCTCATTTTCGTAGGTAACAAAAATATATTTTTCGCGTTATAACGCGAAACTTTCGCGAATAAACGCGTAACTTTCGCGAATAAACCCGAAACTTTCGCGTTATAACGCGAAACTTTCGCGAATAAACGCGTAACTTTCGCGTTATAACGCGAAACTTTCGCGAAAAAACGCGTAACTTTCGCGTTATAACGCGTAATTTTCGCGAATAAACGCGAAACTTTCGCGTTATAACGCGAAATTATACATATATAGTCATGTTACTCAGGAACCTGTGATCTTGACTGACAGATAAAAAACATGAACGCAGAGGGGGACTTCTATGAATTTATAAATGACAATTCTTCAGAAGATGTAAAAGAGAATTGATGCGAGAAATGGATAGATTAGTGTTGATTTTGCATTTAATCTCAAAACCCTAATTAATTAAATGAATATTCCTTTAAAGGTTTTCTTGTTTTTCACTTGTTGAATCCAAGAAATTCTGTAGACTAATTTTTTTTCTCAGGAAGATCTCCACTCGTTGCTTTCTTTGAATAAATTGTCAATGTTTTCGTAAGTAATGGTATGACCAAATGATGCAACCTTAAAATACAATGTTGTATTTCTTCAGTGAGTCTACCGGAGATGAAATATTTGATACGAATATTTGTCATCCAATTTTCACATTAGGTTACTCATGTGATGTGACACAATTGTTCCGTGAAATACAATTTTACCTCATTGTTGTCAATTTTCTGAGATCTTTTATTTCAAATTCTATATAGAGTGTTCAATCTAATTAAAATTAGACTTGTATTTTCGCTCCTCTACTATACGCTTCAACACTTGTATTGAACAGCATTGAGAAAGACAAAATGTGACGGCAAAAAAGATTTAGAAAGAGGAAAGACACATTCAATGGCGAGAAAACATAAAATTTCAGCTCGTGATAATCCAAGTTCAACATAGTCTTTCGTTTTTCACTGTAATGAATAAACTAGATCATTAAAAAGTAAAACAAACTGTAGACTTATGCAAATGTCTCTGTTTTACAGGGAAAGTTTCGCGTTATAATGCGAAAGTTTTGCGTTTATTCGCGAAAGTTACGCGTTATAAGGCGAAAGTTACGCGCTATAACGCGAAAGTTAAGCGTTTGTTCGCGAAAGTTTCGCGCTATAACGCGAAAGTTACGCGTTTATTTGCGAAAGTTTCGCGTTATAACGCGAAAAATATTTTTTTTTATCTACGAAAATGAGCTCAATGGGCTTTCGTAAATATGCGAGTAAATAGTAAATACACTTATCACATTCTAATAAAGCCGAGTTTTATTGAACACATGTACAAGACATTTTTAAAAGCAACAGGTTTTAATCCATTCATGCTCTTAGTTCTATACGTGCACATCACAGAGCGACACGTAGCATCATCTTTTTCCAAATCAAAGGGAGGATGGGTGGGTGGGAGGTCCTTTCTCTTTCTCACAGGAACGAAAAGTTGGGGATGAAGGAGGACAATCCGCCTTGAAATGAAATTTTCCATACTAAACTGCAAAAAAACTTCTCTCGCAAAAAGGGGAGGGGTGGCAGCCCCCCCCCCTTCCCTGACACTAGGTGTCTGCATGAAAAATTTAGCTTGTGATGAATTGTGCAAGATGACGTATAAAGTGATGCGATTGCTAAATATTTGTATACTTGTCAAGAAAGTCAAATATCGTTTCATTTACTACACAAGAAATGAGGAAAAATTAGATGAATATGTAGCAGTATGCTAAAAAGTAGGAACTTGACTATCAATAAAAATTTATGTCATAACATGTGAGTTTAGTATTTAGTAGTTTACAATACTAAGTCTTGTCTCCTGTACAAATAATTTCCAACAAAGTCTTGGATCCACTCCCTTATTCTTTTAATTAAATTGCGTCATAAAAAAAGTAATAGGACATTCAACTCATTTACTAAATTTTAGCATATGAAGTTTGAACTCGGCCTTGAATAGACTTATGGAGAAAGTTATAGTGCAATGTGGTATTTATCGAGGACTTGTAAACGTGGATTTTAACAAAATTTGGAGAAACTTTGACTGTTCTAGTCAGAATCAAGATGGTTTATTTACTCTCACAGTTTATTGGTCTATTTTTAAAACACTTTTTCTCGAAGGAAAGAAAATACATGTACAGAGTTTTCCCGCGAATTTGTTCTTTTCACACGTTGAAAATATCTCAAAAATTTAAACAGATAAATTTCAGTATTTCACTTTTTGAAAATGTAGTAAATTGCACTTGATATTAGTTACTTATAATGCCCCAACAAAAATTCATTATGCATAGTTCTTTCCTGAAGAAAAAAAAATAAAATAAAAAACTACAGACACTTGTCAATATGTTACTCCGAACTAACATCAACGGTGCAATATTGGAATTGAAATAATTTTGTGTTTTTTCTTGTTGTTTTACGTCCCTCACTCATATTGAACACGCCACCATTTGTCGGTGGAGGGCTGCAAATTTTGACCTATACTCGGCACTTAGGGCCATTGAGCAGTGAGGAATCTTTTTCATGCCAGCACCTACTGCGACACGGGACCTCGATTTATACGGTCTCATCAGAAAGACCGGTCTCCACGTCCCACAGTGGGATTCGAACCTGCGACGTAAGGATCATCTCCTTACTCCGCGACTCTAGAGCAGACGCTCTAACCACTGCGCCAAGCGCGGGTAAATCAGAATAAACAACTTATATTTTAAAATTTTGCAAATTTCTTCTTTTTTTATTTCCACAGCAGAAATTTGGGAAATTTTAAATATAAGATCAAGAAACTCGAGGAGAAACTTAAACAAAGATATTATGCAGTCTGAAATACGGGTTATTAGAGGGGGAAATGAACATCAATAAGGTAACAATACGCGATTGTGATTTTGTTTGAGAAAGTTTGCTGGAAAATTAAATTGGCATGGTGCTATAGAGAGTTTTAAACTTCACTGAGGAGTTTATTTTGTCTCTGTTCATGATAATTACATGATTGAAATTCTATATTCTAGGTATTTTCTGAACTTTGTTCACTTTAGTTACCTTTTAAAATTATTTTTTTATTATTATTTGGGGGGGGGGGGTGTTTTCTTCAATTCACTGCAGACCAATGATAATACTTTTAGTTTTATTTATTTATTTATTTTGACTTGTAATTTGCTCTT